ATGGGGGGTTGAGGGGTGGGGGGAAATGTCTCCACCTTGGGGGCAGGGCAGGCTGTGCAGTGAGGTGGGAGGGATGGAAGGTGGGGGAGAGTGCCCCCACTTTGAGGGCAGGGCAAGCTGTGCTGTGAGGTGGGGCGAGAGAGTGCCCCTGGGGGCAGTGTGGGGGAGAGAGGGGGAGTGGTCGGGCAGTGGGGGGCAGTGTTGGCAGGTTCCCCTGGGCCATGGGCATGGTAGGGGAGTGGCAGTTCGGTGACATGACCCCCTCTCATATTGCAGAACACCCTGCTGTGCTTTGCTGTCCATGGAGTCTTCAAGGAAGGTGAGTGTCCAGAAGCCCCCTACCCTCCATTTCCAAGCTCCTCTCTGCACCTCTCCTTGCTAAAATCCCCTCACCCCTATGGCAGACCCCTTTCCCCATATCCACCTCACTGGGCTCTGTTCTCTCTGTGTGCAGTGGATGGCAAGTCCCGGGATGTAGTGAGAGGCTTCACCCGTATGTTCATTGCTGTGCCGGCTGGTATCACAGGGTAAGTGGGGGAAGGGGACACTGGGGACAGAACCCCGGGGGGGTGGGGGGGGCAGCGGTATCCCCTTGGATGTGCATGGGTAGAACACGGGTCGATAGCCTGTCCCTCCCCCCACATGCCCAGGAGGGGAGATGGATGGGATTCCCCCCAGCAGTGCCTTACCCTTCCAGTGTATGTGTATGGCAGGTGGACCAATGGAGGGGGTTCCCCCTAGTTAGTACCTTCCCATCTCCCCCCAGGAAGTGGGAGAGGGGGTAATGTATGGAGATCCTTTATCCTCACCCCAGGTTGTGGAGGGAGGAATGGGAATCCCCACATTCCCCTCCTTAGTTCTGGGCGGAGAAATCCCCCTAGTGCCCCTCCCCTCCTTTTAGGCTCTGTGTGTGCGGGGGGGAGGGGTTGGGGGGTGGAGGAGAGATCTTCCCCTCACATGTGGGCTCTAAGTGGGGGATGGATGGGGATCCCCTGTGCCCCCAGGCTCTGGGGGAAGGAATGGATGAAGATCCCCCGCCAGTGCCTCGTTCTCCCTACCCCTTCAGGCTGTGCATCGTGAACGACCAGCTGTTTGTGCGCAAAGCGAACACGGAAGAGATCCGCAAGGCCTTCGTGATGCCAGCACCCACGCCCTCATCCAGCCCTGTGCCCACGCTGTCAGCTGAGCAGCAGGAGATGCTACAGGCCTTCGCCATGCAGTCTGGCATGAATGTTGAGTGGTCCCAAAAGTAAGTAGGCCTTGGGGAAGGTTGTGGGGAGGGTTGATGCTGCCACATAGCCCATCATTTGCTCGCTGACAGCGTCCCTCTGCCCTAGGTGCCTCCAGGACAATGACTGGGACTACAGCCAGGCAGCCCAGGTTTTCACCCAGCTCAAGGTGAGACAGTGCCTGGGCCTGACTCCATCCCTGGGGCCTGGGGTCAGAATCCTGCAACAGCGAGGGGGAGGGGAGGAGCCACGGGCATGTTCATTCCTCACCAGTGGCCTCAGTACTCAGAGATTGAGGGTGCCTTGACCCCTCTCTATCCCCACAAGGATTTTCTTTCCTAGGGCTGCCTTCCTCCAGGGGCCTGGCTCCATCATTCTCTGCTCCCAGGCACCTCATAGGCACAGGAAAGGACAGTCTTGTGGAGAAGGCACTGGGCTAGGAGTCAGGACTCCTGTGTCAACACTATCCCTGGCTCTGGGAGGGGAGTGGGGTCTAGGAGATTGGTGGGGGGCTCGGATGCAGGGGTTCTGTGCAGCCTCTCCATGGGTAATGGGGGCGTTGCAATGCCCAGAGTCCCAGTGTCTGGTTCTTGGTCTCTTTCAGACGGAGGGGAAGATCCCAGACGTGGCATTTCTCAAGTGAGCAGTGACCCTGCAGTTCCCCCACCACTGATGTTTTATTTTCCATGACAGTTTTTGTAAATAAATGAAAGTTTAAAATAACAAAGGTGGGGGCTCATCGCTGGGAGCAACCATGGGGCTTGGACTCTGAAGGGGGAGCCCCTGCAGCAGGCCCATGGAGCCAGGGGTGATACAGACAGTTCTGGCCATGCTGCCCTGCCTCCAGCCCCGGCCATTTCCAGCGGCAGTGGAAGCAAGACTGAGAAGCAGGTGCTGCTGGGGCACCCAGAAGCTTGGAGGACAGAGCCAGAATCCTTCCCCTCAGGCTTTTGGCCGGTAGGGGGAAAATGACTTTTTTTGGTATGTTTTAAAACAAGCAGTCTTGTGAGTGGCTTCAGTGAGTTGGGCTAGGTGTACCGCTTATAGGCCCTGCGCTTTCCTAGCAGATGAGCCAAGTTGCCCTCAGACTTCAACCCTGTGGTGTTCACAGTCCCTAGCACCTCCCACCCCCGAAATGGACTTGTACTCTTCTCTGTGGAAAGGTAGTCCCAAGGGCCCTGGAGCCGCCTCCCTGAGAACATGCCTCATGCATGCTGAGATTGAGAGATGGACAGAGGAGCTGCCAGGTCCTGGCAGGCCTTTGCCACCTGCCTGCTCTCTATTGCAGCAGCTGCTGTGTGGGTACATGGGACACAGCCCCAGGAAGATGACATGGCTTCCCTTAGGGTGCTGATGGGATTGTGGGGTTGTGTGGGATCTGGAGCGGTTGGTGCTCTCAGCTAAGGAGCAATGGGGTTGTCATTGGCTATGCTCTCCCCTGTTCCCCACCCTGGAGCTAGGGGCAGAGTGTGGGGCTGCAAGATTCCTATGTGCCAGGGCAGCACTGGAGTAGCAGGCGCCAGGGGTTTTCCTACACCCAGGGGGAAGGTACTGCCTTAGCCCTCGAGGGGCTGCCAGCAGTGCTTGCAGCACTCCTTCCTGCTTGTACATCTGTGCTGTACAATCACCCCCTAAATCTTTGGGCTGAAGCAGAATGTTGCAGGGCAGAGCTGGGCACCACTGCCCTCTGTTTCTCTGTGGCTGTATGTGCTAGGACCTGCGTGTTCAATAAAGTGGTGTTTGTTAGAATCTCGGCTGAAGGCTCTGTTGGATACATTCCCTCCTGTTCCCCAGTCCCTCCTCTAGGGCCTCTCCGTGTTGCCCCCCAATCCAAGTACCATCCCTTCCAGGTCCTCTCCCCAGCCCAGTCCCCCCCTCCCCTCCCTCCAACATTCCACTCCCCCCTGCCAGTTCCCCCCTCTCCATATTACCCCCCAATACCACTACCATCCCTTACAGGTCATCTTCCCCCCTCCCCCATCCTAGTTGCTTCCCCAGCCCCTCTCTACATTCCTCTCAGTCCCTCCACCCTTCCAAGCCCTCTCCACATTCCGTCCTGGCGGGGTGGCTTCCCCCCCCCCCCCCCAGCACAGCGATCCCCCAGTGTAAGAAGGCGCTGCGGGTAAGGGGGAGGAGCCTCCTGCCCCTACGCAGAAGCACCAAGTTCCTATTTGAGAGAAGTCGTGATGACTACAAGTCCCAGGCGCCCCCGCGCTCCGGCGGAGAGATGGCGGGGGCCGGGCAGCTGCGGCTGTGGGGACTGCGCTGCTGCACGTGGGGAACGGGGGGCCCCTGGGCCCGGCTCAGCGGTGCGCGGGGCTTGGCAGGCCCAGCGCGCGGGGCGTCCCCCCTGGACACGCACGTGCCCCGGGACCTGCTGCTGTTCCGGCACGAGCGGGGCCGCTTCTTCCGCCTGCTCGGGCTGTTCTGCGCGGGGCAGTTCGCGTTCTGGGCGTACCTGGCGCACTTCGCCTTCAGCGCGCTGCGGCCCGCGGGGCGGCCCGCGGCCAGCGCCCGGCCCGCGCCCACCCTGCCCGGTGGGGCCTCGATCAACCCGGCCTCCAACAAGTGGCGCTACGGATTCACCGTGTCCTGTCTGACCGTGGGTGAGAGCCGGGAGCGGTCCCGAGCCGGAGCGGGCCCCGGGGAGAGAGGGGTGTGGGGACCAGGGGTTTCCCACCCAGCATCTAGGGGAGCACAGCACTCAGGCGCGGGGAACTGGTGATTCCAGTCCTTGCATCCTGGGGAAGCATGAACCGAAGACACTGGTAATGGGATTCTCCCTCCCCTCTCTCCGCAGGGAGAGAGTCTGTCCCGGGGAAGATGGTCAGTGACAGGGAACTGGATTTGAGTCCAGTTCATTGCCCTGGGGAAGAGGGACCCGAGCCTGGTTCCACCCCGCAGCTGGGCCTGGGCCACCTGGAGCAGCTGAGTGGAATCAGGCTTCTGAAACTCAGAGCCAAATCCTGCTGCTGGGAGATGGGGAGGCTGTACCCCCAGCCTTGCTGATGTCCCTCGTTTCTAATCTGCGGCCCCCTGGTATCCCAGCCTTGGGTTCCCCCACAAGTTTTGCCAGTGCCTTCCAACCCACAGCCCCCTACTAGCCCAGTCTGGGTATGGTGGATGGCATCATTTCCTCTCTTTCTCCCCCATCCCAGGTTCACTGATCGTGGCTGCCAGCTTCATGTATTCACGCCGCTCGGTGTGGCAGGTTGTGCTGCGCCAGGGGGGACGGGATGTGACCCTCAGCACCTACTACCCCTTCGGGCTGAGCTCGTCTTTCACAGTGCCCCTGCGCCAGGTCTCCTGCATGGCCCATCGTTCTGAGGTGCCTGCCATGGTTCCTCTCAAGGTCAAGGGGCGGCCCTTTTACTTCCTGCTGGACAAGCAGGGCCAGGTCTACAACCCCCAGCTTTTTGACCTCACCGTGGGGGCTTACAGGAAGCTGTGATTGGGGGAATGAGGATGCTTCCCACTGCTGGAGGATTCTGGGGGGTTGCCGCTGGACAGTTAGAGAAGAGTCCCCAGATTGGGGGCAATGGACAGATTCACACCACACCACCCCCACCAACCTCCTGCCTTTCCCCAAGGACAGCAGGGCCCAGCCCCATTGAGGGGGGTACTATGGCTTGGTAGGATGGGGCTCCAATTGTGTGCTTTTGAAATAAAAGTGAAACTGTGGAGCAGCTGCTGTGAACTCCCTGCCAGCCATGAGTATCTGGAGCCGGCAGGGTTGGGAGGTGGTGTTCATGTGCAAGGAAGCTGATAAAGGAGCAGTGGACTGGGGATACTAGGGTGGAAAGGATCAATGGGGAAGGGGAGGCATGCACCATGGTGGACCTGTGGCTCAGAATGCGGGATTTCATGCTGGAGAGAGTCTGAGCTAGGGAAGCATTTGTGCAGGGGAATCTGAGCCTGTGACACCCCCCACGTGTGAACAGGCTCCAGCAAGATGGGCGCACACCCTGCACAGACCACATGGTGCTAAATTTGGGGAAATCAGTTTATGGGGGCGATGTTGTGCTAAGGGGTCCCAGCCCCCCCTCCCTCTTTCCCATGAGTGAGTCCTGGGGGAGGGCTCAGCTTCCCTCGCCTGTATTGTCGCTGTCCCCTTCCTCCTCCAGGCTGGGCTGAGTGGTGAGCCCTGATGGCCAGGCCAGCCCCTGCTCATGGGCAAGGCGCTTCCAGCGGGCGTCGTCACTTGGATGGGTGAGGTAGCGCTGCCCCACATGGGTCTCCAGCTCCCGCAGGGCCAGCCAGGTCTGGAAATCCTGGGGGGGGATGGAGACCGCTCATCAACAGGTGCTGTGGGGAGTCCAGGCTCCTCCTATCAGGGGTCCACCGTGTACTGAGGAAGGGATCTACAGGGGATGGGGAGAGCTAGGGAGGGGGTTGAGTTAGCCATTTACTGTTGGGAGGGGGGACTGGAGACTGGGGTGAAGCTGGGAAGGGGAGAGCAGGGTGTTGAGTTCTAGGGTGGAGGGAGTTTACGTGGAGTTAGACAGTGCCAGGGGATAGAAGAGGTGTGTTATGGGGTGTGGATTGTGGGACAGAAGGTATCTGCAGGCAGGGATATGGGTGGGGTGAATAGGGATTGAGGGGTGGAGGGAAGGTACCTGCAGCCAGGGGTGGTTCAGCGCCTTGTTCACACTCAGTCGCTTCCTCAGCTTCACCTGCAGCAGCTGGTGGATGAGGCTGACAGCTGGGAGGGAAGGAGGGGGTTACATAGGCCAAGACCTCTCCCCAACTCCTCCCCCCAGGGAGCACAGCCATTGGCTGCCAGAGGCCTGCAACAGCCAAATTTCCTGGAGGTGCCATAGGGCTGCTGCAGGTACATGCAGCCCATGCTCTGGAGGTGCAGGGGCAGTGGGAGGAGTAGTGTGCTGCGAGTGGCATGCCACAGGGGAGCGGAGCAGGGCAGGGCAGGGTGGTGGTGGGGGAAGAGGGTCTCGCCGTCGAGGGAGATGCTGGCCCAGGTCTGCCAGGGGTACATGGCCAGTCTGGAGGTAAGGGGGCAGTGTGATTGGGTGCAGGGTGGTGGGGGAGACAGGAGGTCTCCCCCTCAAGGAAGATGTTGACTCGGGTCTGCTGGGAGTACATGAACGCTGCAGTCTGGAGGTGGGGGGCAGGGTCGGGGTAGGAGGGTCTCACCCTCAAGGGAGATGCTGGCCCAGGTCTGCCGGGGGTACATGAAGGCTGCATTCTTGATCTGATCGTTGACGTCCTCCTCCTCGTTGAAGGGGAAGGTCCCGCTCAGGCTGACGTAGATGATGACGCCCACGGCCCACATGTCCAGGGCACGGTTGTAGCCATGTTGCCGCAGCACTTCGGGCGCCAGGTACGCTGGGGTCCCCACCACTGAGCGCCGGAATGACGACTCCTCAATGATGCGGGCGAAGCCAAAGTCACAGAGCTTCACCTGAGAGGTGAGGGGTTAGCATGAGGGTGGGGAATATGGAGCATTTCCTTGCTAGGGGGCCTGACTCTGGGGGGACCGGCTGGCTTGGGGTAGGGGCCTCTCCCCTCTGGGGGGTGCCAGGTCTGGTCCGGCCCCAGGTTGGTAATAGAGTCTTGACGGAAAGGGGAAGGGAGAGTGAGTGCAATGGGGCACGAGCTAGGATGGGAGAGGGGGCTAGAGGGATGAGGCGGTGGAACAGGAGGGGCAGGGCTCCAGGGAGGTGGGCTGGGAGGCAGGGGAGGGATTGTCCCACCTGGGGGTAGGGCTCATCCGAGGCCAGCAGCACATTCTCTGGCTTGAGGTCACAGTGCACGATGTTCCGGGAGTGCAGGTGGTGCAGGGCAGACAGGATCTGCAAGCACAGCGGGAACGGTGGTTACCTGCCATGTGGGGGGAGTTCCTGACAGGTCCACGCACAGACTGGATGTGGCATGGGGGCTGTTGCACGCTCACATGCGCTGGTGAGTGCTGTGTGAGCCGCGACCCAGGCATTGGGGGGCAGTGATGGGATGGTGTGTGTACGTGCACAGTTATGGCGAGGAGCATGCAATGATGTGCAGTGCTGATGTGCGCAAGTATACCACTATGCTGAGTGGCGTGAGTGGTGAGCCTGGGTGCAGTATGCAATGGTGACAGGACCACAGTGGTGGGCACGATGGGGATGAGCAGCAATGCGGAGCAGTGCATGGGAGCGAATGGCGTGCCACAGGGGAGCAGCATGTTGGGGGGCCAGGATGGGAGCTGTGGGCCGTGGGGGAGCAGTGTGTGTGGGTGTGTACATTTTCACAAGGACTCTGAGTAGTATGCATGCTGTGATCATGGATGGTGCAGCATCATTAACATGCCCGACGGGGACACCTGTGGGGAGCACCAGGCTGGAGGGTTTGCTTGGTCCTCCTCGATCTGCTGTGAGGCCACTGCAGGGCGCGGGGCGGGGAGAGCTGCGGCACCCACCTGGGCAATGAGGAACTTGGCAAGGGGTTCAGGCAGCCGCCCAGTCTCGCTGGACAGGATCATTTCCAGCATGTCGCCACGCAGCCGCTCCATCACCACGAAGAGCCGGGCAGGGCCCTCGAACATGCACTCCAGGTGCACCACGCAGGGGGAGTGCAGGCTCTGGCAGGGGAGAGGATGGAGCTCCCTGAACGGGGATCCTCCGCACCCTGCTCACAGCCCAAGAACCCTCCCCACCACTCAGACCTGCACCTAACCCTGCAGGCCCTTCTCTGGTGCTGGACTGGCTTGGAGCTCCCTCACAGGGAGGGAGGGCCCCAACAAAGCCCCCAGTGCACTGGGGGAGGGAGTGCTGCCTGTCCAGCCATTGCCCCATTTCCCCCACTGGGTCTGGGGGGCAGAGGCAGCCAAACATGTCCATGGAGGAGTCCCCACATGCCCCCCACCCAAGGGTCCCCTTTTCCACACACCCCTCCTTTCCCACCAGGGTCCTTGTGTTTCCCATCCCCAGGGGCTCACCTGCAGGATAGAGACCTCATTGCGGAACTGATTTTCCTGCCGGGGGGGGAAGCGCAGCTTGTCGATGACTTTGATGGCCACATCCCGGCCAGATTTCCTGTGCTTTCCTGGGGGGCAGGGCAGTGGTATTAGGGCTTGGGGGCAGAGGGGGAGGCAGGGCTGGGGCGGGAGGGGTGTGTGGCAGGGCTGGGGGCAGAGAGGGGTGTGTGGCAGGGCTGGGGGCAGAGGGGGAGGCAGGGCTGGGGCGGGAGGGGTGTGTGGCAGGGCTGGGGGCAGAGAGGGAGGCAGGGCTGGGGGCAGGAGGGGTGTGTGCCAGGGCTGGGGGCAGAGGGGTGTGTGGCAGGGCTGGGGGCAGAGAGGGAGGCAGGGCTGGGGCGGGAGGGGTGTGTGGCAGGGCTGGGGGCAGAGGGGGAGGCAGGGCTGGGGCGGGAGGGGTGTGTGGCAGGGCTGGGGGCAGAGGGGGGAGGCAGGGCTGGGGCGGGAGGGGTGTGAGGCAGGGCTGGGGGCAGAGGGGGAGGCAGGGCTGGGGCGGGAGGGGTGTGTGGCAGGGCTGGGGGCAGAGGGAGAGGCAGGGCTGGAGCGGGAGGGGTGTGTGGCAGGGCTGGGGGCAGAGGGGGGAGGCAGGGCTGGGGCGGGAGGGGGTGTGAGGCAGGGCTGGGGGCAGAGGGGGGTGGCAGGGCTGGGGCGGGGAGGGGGTGTGTGGCAGGGCTGGGGGCAGAGGGGGAGGCAGGGCTGGGGCAGGAGGGGTGTGGGGCAGGGCTAGGGGCAGAGCGGGAGGCAGGGCTGGGGGCAGAGGGGGAGGCAGGGCTGGGGCGGGAGGGGTGTGTGGCAGGGCTGGGGGCAGAGGGGGAGGCAGGGCTGGGGCGGGAGGGGTGTGTGGCAGGGCTGGGGGCAGAGGGGGAGGCAGGGCTGGGGCGGGAGGGGTGTGGGGCAGGGCTGGGGGCAGAGGGGGAGGCAGGGCTGGGGCGGGAGGGGTGTGGGGCAGGGCTGGGGGCAGAGGGGGAGGCAGGGCTGGGGGCGGGAGGGGTGTGGGGCAGGGCTGGGGGCAGAGGGGGAGGCAGGGCTGGGGCGGGAGGGGTGTGTGGCAGGGCTGGGGGGAGATGTGCACTGGCACACCACAGGTGAGCAGTGGGCAAACCATGCTCCTGGAAGCATGGCAGTGATGGGATGGGCATGGCTACAGCACCTGGGGAGCCGTAGTCCACGTGTTTGCCCCTGGGGGGTGCACATGCAAACAGATCCCAGACTGTGCCCAAGGGGAGGTGGGGGGATCAGCACAGAGGGAGGGGAGCTATTGGGGGACACAGGAAAGGGGAGCCAGGATGGGAGTTGGGGAGCAGGGGCGGGGGAAGGCACCTACCGCCGTACACCACCCCGAACTGCCCAGCGCCCAGCGCCTCGTCAGGGAAGATCTGATAGGAACGGCTGATGTCCTGGGGTGAGGGACAAGGACAGAGTTGGGGGGATTGAGGCATGGTGCCCGCTAGGGGCAAATCCCTGACATACCAGGCCTAATGCTCCCACTACTGCCACCTCGCCACCAACCCTTATGCCTGGCTTCCTCACCCCAACACCAGCCCCCATGTTTGCTCATCCCCTTCCCCGTGCTAGACCATGCACCCCACCACTCCTAGGGTTCCCCAGTGCCACCCTCTCCAACTCACCGTGTCATCTGGGGACTCATAGTCAGAATCTGCAGAGATAAGACACAATGGAGACATGAGAAGACCCTGGCTCAGCTGGGACTGGGACATTCAGACCCACTGCCCTTTTATCCTGGGAGCAGGAGACAGCTACCTCTCAGACGGCCACTGGGGATGTTTATACAGGGATCCCTCACCTGGTACTGAGATGCAGCTGTCTCTGGGGTATGGCACAGGGGCTGTTGATACAGGGGTTCCTTGCCCAGCACTGAGATGCAGCTGGCACTAGGGTGGGGCACAGGGGCTGTTAACACAGGGGTTCCTTGCCCAACACTGAGGTGTGGCACGAAGGCTGTTAACAGGATTCCTTGCCCAACACTGAGGTCTGGCTGGCTCTGCAGTGCAGCATAGGGGCTGTTGAATCAGGGATGATCCCTTACCCAGCTCTGAGATGCAGCTGGCTCTGGGGTGGGGCTCATGGCTGCCTATAGAGGGATCCCCATGGTACTCACTGGGCTCCTGGACAGAGCCGTCGGGCTCGGGGTTCACAGGCCATAGGGCCTGGCGGATGGCCCTGGCCCAGGCCTTTCCAGCCTCCGCCCTCGCCCAGACCTGCCCTGGCTCCCGCTCACTGCTGTGCTCGCCCACGTAGTACACCAGGGCCTCCGTCACCAGCTCAAAGCAGGGGGGGCTCCCACTGGGGGCCAGGGGTGTCAGCCCCTCCCAGGGGCGGATCTGGAGGATCTCAGACAGCGGCAGCTCCTGCAGGAAGAGCAAGACCATTGGACAGTGGCTGGGCTCCTCTGGGGTGAGGAATCAGGAGGGGGGGTGCCACAGGGAGAGTGCAGGCTGCTTTGGATTTGGGCTCAGGGGAAACAGGGTGCTGTAGGGAATGGGATGCAGCGGAGGGGACGAAGAGCGGACCCCTCACCTTGTAGAACTTGCCTCCGCTCTCACAGTGGAAGAAGCTCAGGCTCTTACTGTCCAGCACCCAGAAATGGCGCTTCCTCTGGGGGGCACAGAGATGTTATTCTGGGGGCTTATGCCCATCCCATCCCAAGGCCCCCCAACCCAAACCTCTGCTGCCCCCCCAACATTGCCCTGAAATGCCTGGCCAATAATCCCCCTCTCCTGCTCTCAGTCCCCACATAACCAGCCCTGGCCAGCCGCAAGCCCCACTCCCTGACACCCTCTCACTCCGTGCCCAATCCTGTTACTCTGCCTTGTGACCCTGCCCCCTGCCCATCCATGACCCCTGCCTCCCATTCTCCTCTGACTCCACCCCCCATTCCAGCCTGCCTGAAGCTCCACCCCTGACCCCATATCTCCTGTGGCTCCACCCCTGACCCCATATCTCCTGTGGCTCCACCCCTGACCCTCCTGTAACCTCACTCTCTGTCTCCACCCTCTGTTCACTCACCATGGGGTCCCTGCTGGTGAAATGCACCATCCATCCCTCCAGCAGGATGGCGCTGCGCCGCCTCTTGGTGTGCCGGCAGGACTGCACCACCCGCATCAAGGGGATGTAGCTACTGAAACAGGGGCTGGCGCCAGGAGAGACAGGGACTCAGATGTTGGACTCCCCTGCCCCCAAAGGCACAGCCTTCCACCACCCACCAGGCTCCCTGGGGTCAGGACTCCTGGGTTCTATGCCCATCTCTGGGAGGGGAGTGAGGTCTGGTGGTTAGAGCGGGGATTGGGAACCAGGATTCCTGAGTTCACTGACCCCATGGGAGATCCCCTTCTCCTTCTGTACTATAGAGCAGCAGGCGCTGGGGAACCATGTAGCCCCCCCCATCCCACCCCACCCACCCACCCATCCTTGGGGGGGTCCCTACCTGAGGCTGGTGTGCATCTCTGCCTCTAGAGTCCCAGGGTTGGGCTCTGTCTCCTCTGTGTCCTCTGCCAGCCCGTGCCCACTGGTGCCCTCCCCATCTGCCTCCCCTTCCACTGGCTCTGGCTTGCTAGATGGGCACTCTGGGCTCTCGCCATCTATGTGGGTGAAGGGAGAGAGTGAGATACCCTGCTTTCTGCAAGGCCAGCAGGGAAAACACGATGGGGGATAGGGACTAGAGCGGGGCCACTGGGCACCAGGATTCCTGGGTTCTCTGCCTGGCTCTGGGAGCAGAGTGGTGGCTAATGGTTAGAGCAGATGGGCTGGAAGCAGGGGTACAACAAAGAAGGACTCAGGCCACCCCTTGTCCCCTGACTAGAATTGGAAATTGAGCCTGGCTGTCCTGCCAGAGGGGTGACCAGGCCAAATCTGAGAGTGTGGTGACCCTGTACCCCTCCTTGACCCTCCCTACCTCTGCAGTGCTACACCCCCAGCCGGGTGGGAAGATTGGGTCTGGGCTTTTTGTGCTGCCTGCGGCAGAGGAGACACAGAAAGAGGATGGGGCCTGGGGCTCCCAGAACTTCCTGGGCCCTGGTGAGGATGGTGCTCTTCAGCCTGACACCTCTCTGGGTGAGAGCTCAGGGCTGGGAGCAGAGTGGGGTGTGGGGGCAGTGTAAGAGAGTAAGGGCTGGGTATGGGGGATTGGGAGGGGGTGAGCTCAGGGCTGGGTATGGGGGACTGGGAGGGGGCAAGTGCAGGGCTGGGTGGGGTGGGGAGGGAGTGGAGCTGGGGACAGGAGGAGAGTGGGGGGGCGGGAGAGACTAAGCTGGGGGTGAGGCGAGGCAGGGCAGGGAGCGTTCTGGGCCCTCTCCTTAGGAAAGTGCTGTTTGTGCCCAAGGGGGAATCAGGACGCCTGGGTTCTACCCCTAACACAGGGAGGGGAATGAGGTGTGGTGCTTCTGGCCCAGCCAAGCTTAGAGCAGTGGAGCCCTATTGTTGATTGGACAGGGTCACTGGGTTGTGCCCAATGCATTGTGGGATAGCCATGCGGGGCACTCTGGGAGGGGTCAGGCTTCCCCAGTGGGCAAGCTGAGCAGGGGGCAGAGCTGGGGCTGGGAATGGGGTAGTGCTAGGTATGTTGCCTCCCTGCCCAATGCGGCCCCATCCTTACCTGCTGTGCCAGGGGCCAGGCCCTCCCCCACACACTCTTCCGGCACGAACTGCTCGCAGCGCTTGTGGCAGTTGAATTTACAGTCTGTGGGGGGAGAGGAGAGAGGCTGAGGGCTGGGACAGGGTGGGGCAGCGGGCCAGCCGGGATCCAGCTCTCCCTTTCCTGCTGGGGTCCCTGGAGCAGTGTGGCTGGGTGCTACCTCCAACTGCGACAAAGGGGGTAGCTCCCTCCTCAGAGCAATTGGCTCAGGCTCTTTGCAGACTCAGACAGTGTTGCTGCATTGGTTACAGCAAGGGCAGCTCCTCCCTTTTATCTCTGTTCCCTGAATCCCCCCCACTTCTCCCTTTGTACCCGTGATGTAGGTTCCCCTGCCGTGTGTGACTGTTTCTGCTGGTTCCCTGTCAGCCCCAGAAGGATGGGGAGAAGCCACGGAGACCGTGACTCCCAGCTCTCTGTACAGGGTTCTCTTGATAAGTGGCCCCTGCAGGGCAGGGAGGCTTCACTGGGTCAACAGACGGCCGTCAAAGGGGACACCTCCCTGGGGTGGTTGCTTGGACATGCCATCAGAAGGAGCTTCAGTGCTGAAAGGGGAAGCAATGGGGGCACAGCTCGAAGCTGGGTCCCCGGGTTCTGTACCACTACTCCCCAGTGGGGCCACAGTGACTCTGAGGTCAATCCCAGCAGCATCCCAGTCCAGGGTCAGGCCCCTCACCCCAGTCCTGGCAGGGTCCCAGCCCGGGGTCAGCCCTTTACCCCAGTCCTCTGCATGGTCGCAGCTGCTGGTACCTTTGCACTGCAACCCCTGGCGGAAGAGCCCCTTGAGCAGGCGCTTGCAGTGTTGGCACACGGTGGGCCGGGTGTACGAGTGGACCTGGAAGGTGTGTGGCACCTTGACCCGGTTCAGATCCATCCAGTCCTTCCAGAGCGGGCGGCCAATCAGCACAGGACCCTGTGTCTGCTGGCCCCACTTCCAGTGACTGATCTGCAGGGGAACCAGAGTCCATGTTAGACTGTGGTGAGTGTCCCCACCCTCCCCCCAACTCCACACTGTCACTGTCCCTCACTGCACCCCACTTTCCAGGGGCCCAGCCAAGTTGCCAGCCATCCCCAATTCTGATTTACCCTGGGTCTCTGCCTGGCCTTCCCCATCCTATCCAGCCACAACTGCAGGGGGTTAGCAGCCAGCATTCCTCTGGGAGAGGAGTGGGTGTAGTGGCTAGAGCAGACATCGTATTCCTTTGCAGGGTGTATCCATCGCCTCTGAAGTCCTTGACCTTCCCAACACCCAAGAGCCATCACCCTCTGGAATACTTCCGCCGGCTGTGTGGGTCCCAGCTCCTACCTCCTCCAGGCTGCCCCCCACAGTCTGGCCAAGGCCAGGGGTCTTGGGGCTGGTGGTAGCGCCCAGTGAGCGACTGGCCAGCTGGCTCCTCCTCACACCGCGGCAGTTGTTGGGGATCTTGAAGGCACAGCGCTTGTGATAATTCAGCCCACAGCCTGGGGGGAGGGGAGAGTGAGGACTGGGCCCCATGCCAGGCCTGGAATGGGGGGAGGTGGGTCCCCTGGTCATGGAGGTGGGAGCCCCAGAGGGGCTCCAGGAGATTGGGCAGGCCTGGAAGGAGGGGGCTACTGGTGTGCAAAGGGCTGAGGAATTCAGCCAGGCCTGGGGAGAGGGGTGCCAAAGGGACCCAGGAGATCTGAAGGGAGCATTGTCTGCCCAGTGGGACCCAGGGGATCGGGCCAGGTGCAGAGATGGGGGTATGGGCACCAGAGGGACCCAGGAAGCGGGAGAGGGTTGGGTCAGGCAACTGGGTCAGTCCCAGGGCGGGGACGGGAAGGGGTGGACACGGATTGCTCCATACCTTGACACTTTAACCCTTGGCGCACCAGCCCCCAGAGCATCTCCCCACAGTAGTCGCAGAAGGCCGGGGCCTTGTAGGAGTGAACAAGCAGCACATGGGGCCGGATAGTGAAATCCAAAGAAACTGAGGCTGTGGGGAGAGAGAAGAATGAGGAGAGGGTGGGTTTGGTAGGGAGCATGGGAGTCCAGGGCCTGCCCCTCTGTGGGCCGCTGGCTCCAATCTGCCCCTATGGCACGGGGACTGGCTGGGTGGGATGGGGGAATGGGACAAGGGGCCTTTCCCCTCTAGGGGGCGCCAGTTCTGATCTGCCCCAGGATGGGAGACTGGCTGGCTCACATGGGGCAGGGAGGGGAAGCTGAGGTCTTTCCCCTCCAGGCCCTGTTTGGCATCCACAGGCTCTGGTGCCCCAGGACTGTCTCACCCGACAGCACGACCTCAATCAGGTCCCCAGGGCGCACCACACCGTCCGGCCCCAAGTGCTCCAGCACATTCTCTGACGCGGTGTCGTGCCGGAACAGCATGATCTTCTCCGACACTCCCAGGAAGCCGTACTCAGGGAACTAGGAGAGAGATGGTATTAGAACCCAGGCCTCCTGGGCCCCCCTGGCCTGCACTAACCATTAGATCCCACTCCCCTTCCTGAGCCAGGCATAGAACTCAGAAGTCATGGCCTCTTTCTGGGGAATTATGGGGGACACAGACAGTAACCTCCCCCCGACCCCACTGCCCCAGCCTGCTCTCAGCTGGTAAAGGTTGGCCTGTGAGCTCACATTAGCGCCTCCCGGCAGGGGAAGATGGGACTGAAACAGGCCTGGTTATTATAGACATGAAATCTTCACTCTAGCTCCAGGTTTTGCCGCTCCCAGGCTGTGGGCTCCAGCTCTTCCCAGCACCATTCCCTGGCTGGGCAATCACCCACGCCCACAACTTTCACAGAGTCCGGAGCCTGCCAGGGCTTGTGACACATTGGGAGAGGGAGGGGAGCACAGATAGAGTCCCACCGCTAACTGTCAGTCTCCACCCCAAACCCTGCTTTGCCTCCAGCATTTATAGTAGTGTTAAATATATTTAAAAGTGTTGTTCATTTATAAGGGGGGGGGGTCGCACTCAGAGGCTTGGTATGTGAAAGGGGTCACCAGTACAAAAGTTTGAGAACCACTGCTGTAGCATGTCTTGAATGCTTGCATTGTTGCAGAAATGCTGTGTGTTCTCACTGGAACTGCACTGAGCTAAAATGCAGCTGCTTCTGGGGTGGGACATGGGGTTGTTTATACAGGGATCCTTCACCCAGCATCAAGATGCAGACCCTTCTGGGGTGGGGTGCAGGAGCTGTTTATACAAGGATCCCTTGCTTGGCACTGAGATGCAGCTGCCTCTAGGGTGGGGTGCAGTGGCTGTTTAAACAAGGCTCCTTTGCCTGGTGCTGAGATGCAGCCACTTCTGGAGTGGGACATGGTGGCTGTGTACACAAGCCTTCTGCGCCTGGTGCTGAGAGGCAGCTGCTTCTGGGCTGGGCTGCATGGGGTGTTTATACAGAGATCCCTTGCCTGGCGCTGAGATCCAGTCACCTCTGGGGTGGAGCGTGGGGGGCTGTTTGTACAGGGCTAGTTGTATGAGACTCCCCGCTCCCTGCAGACAGACGAGCCCCCCCCCTGCAATGCCATGAGTGAGCACGGAGCGGAAACGAGCTGCTCTGCTGGTTTCCTCTGTCACTTGCTCGGTGCAGGGGGACTGGGCAGCCGGGGAAGGGGCAGGCCCTCAGAGTGCAGGTAGGAAGCACAGGGCCCTGCTGACCCCAGCCGCAGCGGAAAGATTGACTCAGCATGGCTGCTGTAGCACCCACCCCACACACACCCAAGTGCTCCCTGTGCTGTCCTGAGATGGAAACTGGCGGGGAGGGGGCAGGGGGCAAAGGAAATGCGGAGGAGCCAGGGAACCTTTGAATAGCCACCCTCCTGTGAATGAGAGAGCGCAGGTCCACAGCAGGTGGGCAGACACACCCCCACACTCCATAATATTAAGGGTGTCCCCTCTTTGGACCTGGACCAGGGCTCTATATCTCCCAGTCATCTGACACTTGGGTCACATCATCTTCCCCCGACCTCGAATCCTGTCTGCAGGTCTCCTGGTAAGATCAGGCCCCTTGACCCATCCCATGTGCCCCCCCAAGGGTGCTGTCCAAGGGCTCTGAGTGCCATGAGGTTCCCCAGGGAGCGAGCCCCCTGAAGCCTGGCAGTCCAGCAACTCCCATCTGCCACCCTAACTCTGGGACACCGCAGTCTCCAGCCCAGTGTTTCCCCCAGGCTGTGCCTCATTTAATCTGTTTTAGGAGAACAGCAAATCAATCTCCGGGCATCAAGAAGGGAGGAGGAATAGTGGTTAGAGGAGGGGAGAGCAGGATGCCTGGGGTCTATTCATAGCTCGGGGAGGGGAGTGAAGTCTAGTGGTTAGAACAGGAGAGGTACTGGAAGGTAGGACTCTTCAATTCTATTCCTAGCTGAGGCAGGGGAGTGAATCCTAGTGGTTAGAGTATGCCGGGTGGAAGCCAGGACTCTCAGGTTCTGTCCCCGGCTCTGGGAGGGGCGTGGGGACTCACGGTTAGAGCAGCTGGGGCTGGAAGTCAGGACATTGCTGGGTTCCGCAGCTGCTCCCCTACATTCCAAGCACTAGTCAGACTTTGAGCAAACTCCCCTGGTGTCTCCGTGACCCACCATTGGCATCTGGGCACAACCTCTGGGATTCCTTCTGGGGACCCCTCCCATCCCCGCACCCTGGATCCTGGCCCTTTCGCCCGTGCTCCCCTTCTCGACACTCCTCCAGCTTAGCCCCATTACCTTCCTCTCCACCAGCTCCACTGCCAGGTGCCGCAGGTGCTCATAACGCAGCTCCTCTGGGGGCAGCATGTATGACTCTCGGGACAGCCCAGTCTGCAGGCGCACAGATACTGTGCCCAGGGGCTGGCACTCCAGAGCCATGGGCAGCACCGGGTGCCCGGGAAAGCTGGGTCTTGTGCTGGATCCAACTCCTGAGGGTCTCACGTGGGGATGGGGCAGGAGGCAGGAGAGAAAGGGGTCCCTTCTCGTTCCCCCCCACAGTCCCCACACTGGCTCCCTGCACCGCCTGTCCCCACGGCTTCTCTGAGCTGCAGGAAATGCAGTGTTAACTCTCTGCTCCCCAACGGACAGAGCTGTCTGCTGATAACGATGGGTGCAGGCAGCGCAGCCTGGTGGGTTAGTGCATGGGGTGGAGAGCCAGGACTCCAGGGTTCTGTCTTCAGCTGTGGGAGGGGAGAGGTGTCTAGTGGATTAGATGGGGCGGGGGGAACCAGGACTCCTGGGTCCTATTCGCATCTTTGCTAGTATTAATAACTGCATTTCTATGGTGTTCCCCCATCAAAGCAACACCCGGATGGTAATGAATTACCCCAAGTTTGGTTCCTGGTGAAGGGAGCTTACAGGGTGAGATGGAAGTGCTGGACATGATGGGTCACCACTCAGCTGTCATCTAACTCAGTGGTTCTCAGCCAGGGGTATGCATACTCCTGGGGGTACGCCGAGGTCTTCCAGGGGTACATCAGCTCATCTAGATATTTTCCTGGTTTTGCAACAGGCTACATAAAAAGCACTAGCAAAGTCAGTACAAACTAAAATTTCATACAGATAATGACTTGTTTATACTGGTCTATATACTATCCACTGAAATGTAAGTACAATATTTATATTCCAATGGATTCATTTTATAATATGGTAAAAATGTAAAAGTCAGCAATTTCTCAGTAACAATGAGCTGTGAAACTTTTGTATTTGTATGTCTGGTTTTGTAAGCAACCAGTTTTTAAGTGAGGTGAAACTTGGGGGTACGCAAGACAAATCAGATTCCGGAAAGGGGTACAGTAGTCTGGAAAGGTTGAGACCCACTGATCTAACTCAGCCCCAATGACTTTCATTCATTGCACTAATGTAGGGTCCCTGTCTGATCCCCTTGACTCCTGGGGTCAGTCGAGAGTCACCCATTGACTGCAGTGGGTCAGGGACCAATTCTATTCTCAGATCCCCTGGGTGAAACTGGGAGTCACCCCCTCCCCAAGCGGCATCGGAGCCAGCTCCTGCTCTCCACACCCTCAGCTGGATCTGTCAGGAGTGAGGGGCCTGCAGAGCCACAGGGGCAATGGGTGGGGACAATGGGGTTGGGCTGGAGCTGTCCTGCTCGGACCCAGGTTCGGTTCTCTGGGTGAACAGCATAGGCCAGAGCTCCCAGTACAGTCCAGATTCAGGAGGGAGGGGTTAGGAAACCTTCATCACAGCTGGGGGAGGGGAGGGGAAGTGAAAGCACCAGGGGCTGCAATTGCAGCAGGCCAGGGAGCTGTGATAGTGCTCCCCCTCCTGCTCTACACTCCTCCTGGCCCCCACCCCACTCCCACTCTGCAGACTCCCTGCCCTCCACCTCCACACAGACACCTTCCCCATCCTCACCCTCACCTTTGGCCCTGACACAGAGTCCTCCCCAGACAGTCCTCCCCATAGGCCCCACCCCTGCCTGCTCCACCCTTTCACAGTACCCCTGCCCCCCTCCACCTCCTACTCTGCACCCCCCACAGACACTCCCCCTGCCCTGACTCCTCCCTACACCCGTAGGCCTCACCTTGCCCTGCTCCCCTAACCATGCGCTGTCCCCCAGCTTCTTCCTGGGGCCCAACCCAGGCTCCCTCCATACTGCTAAGCCCCATCCTGTCCCTAAAGGGAGCCCTCCTAGGCCCCCTGCGCTGTCCCCTCCCCGCACTGTGGTGTTTAGGAGTCACCACAGTGACGGCATTACAAAGGCGGGGAGCTCTGATCTGGAACCTCCAGGTCCCCGGGGTTCTGGGGCCACTAGGGAAGTCAGTCTGGAACGTGGGCTTGGCTGGGGTCACAAAAGAAGGAGGGAGGGTCATTTGGGGTTCACTGAGGGAATTGGGTTGCAGGGTCCCAGTCAGGGAGAGTTGGGGCACACATACACCATGGACTACCTGACCGTGCCTGTTGTGTCCAACTCCCAGATGGAGAAGTCTCCGTACAAGGAGGAGATGCCCCCTGTCTTCCAGGCCTCCTTGCACGCCACCTCGGCCTCCTCCCACCCCCCAAAGATATTGAAAGGTAACGGGGTGCTCCCTGGACACCCCATCCCCCCACGCCTCTGCACATGCCCCCACCCCAGCTCCCAACCCCCCACTGCCCAATACCTCTCCCCAACAAGAGCCAAAGGGAAGATGGGGCTCCTCCCGCCATCCTGCAACTCCCCCTCACCCGCAAACACCCCATACTCCCCCCCCGTCCCAGGACCCAGCACCACTGCCGGAGGAGAGCCAGAGGGAACATGGAGCCTTACCACACCCCAAGCTCCGCACAGACTGCACCTGTCCCCTACACAGCCCCCCAAATAATCCACAGCCCGCCCTGCCCACCCTCCCATAACTATGATTTGTCCTGTTCCTTCCCTATCATGGCTGATCCGTGGCATCTGTGCCCAGGGAAGCAGGACCACCGGCAGGGGCGGAAGTGGAGGGGCACCATGGTCCTGCTGTGCCTGGTGTGGAAGAAGACCGTGTCCTGGCTGCTGACCCTGCGGGCTATCATCCACAAGCTCACTCAGCTACTGGCCTTCGAAATCTTCATCATCAGCATGGTTGGCATCCACACAGCAGTACTGGTGGCGCAAACCTTCGCCATAGTGCAGGTCCGCGGAGGTAAGACTGCCCCTGCCCTGCCCTGGCCTGGCCTGGCCTGGCCTGGCCATGGGAGTCATTTCATTCCCCTCCCCATATCCCAGCCATGGGGATCACCCCTTGGCCTGGCCATGGGAATCATCCCATTACCCAACCCCACCATCCCAGCTATGGGGATTGTGCCCCCCCTTGTCTGGCCATGGGGATCATCCCATTTCCCCTTCCCCATCCCAGCCATGGGGATAGCCCCATTGCTCCCGCATCTCAGCTATGGGGATTGACCACTCCCATCCTGCCCCTGCCCCAGTCACAGGCTTGGCCTATTTCTCTCTGCCCACCCTGGGACATCCCAGTTCCCACTCACCCAGCCAGTGGTCTCCCCAGTGCCCCCTGCTAACCTAAGAGATGCTGCCCACCCCCCTGAGGTCGCCCCATTTCCCCTTCCAAGCAGGTGGGTGGTGCATCCATCTCACCTCAGGGACTAGCTCATGGTTATTCTGAGTATTATGGTAGTGCCTAGTGACCTGGGTAAGACCAGGGCACCTGTTGTGCTGGGCGCTGCATAGACTCATGGTGAATGACAATCCGTGCACTGAGGAGCTCAGAGTCTGAATGGACACGGGGAAACTGAGGCATCAAGTGGGAGGACGTTGCCCCAGGTCACACAGGAGGTCAATAGCACAGCTGGGAATAGAACCCAGCACTTGTGGCTCCCAGCATCCCTGCTCTAACCACTAGGAACCCCTCTCCCCAGAGACAGAGATAGAACCCAGGAGTTCTGGCTCCCATACCCACTAAGCCATGCTGTCTGCATTCAGGAAGGGGCTGAGTCCAGCGTGTGGGTGTCCATTGCCACACAGGGTGTGTTCTCTAGGCCGGGTGTGGATGGCGAGGTCAGTATGGCCTAGTGGGTACATGCCCTCACCCCAGCCCCCTCACCCCATCAGAGTGGTTCTTCTCCGCCATGGACGCCGTCTTCCTGTGCGTGTACGTGCTGGAGGCACTGCTGAAACTCATCGCCCTGGACCTTGACTACTTCCGCGATCCCTGGAACGACATTGGTGGGTCACCATGGGAGGGGACCGAGGCAATCCTGGCAGGGAGGTGGGGCAGAGAGATTCCCTGGGGCTGGGGTTCACGGGGGGATGAGACAAGCCACCTCGGGGTGGCCTCGGGGTCAGGGCAATGGGGCAAGAGAGGGGCGAGTGCCTGGGATGGGGCAGTGTGTGCCTGCAGGGGAAGCGGGTGTTGGGGGGCTGCAGTGGTGCCCCCTCTCCTCGATGCTGGTGCCCCCTCCTCACAGATTTTTTCATCATGATCATGATGGTGCTGGACTTCGTGCTGCCGCTCCTCATCTATCCGGGCCACACCACCCACGGCAATGCTGTCAGCCTCTTACGTGTGCTCCGCGTCTTCAAGGGTGTCCGGGCCGTGCGGATCCTGAGGCTGCTGCTCACGCTACGGTCAGTGCCTGGCGGGCATGGGGGATAGAGGGAGCAAAGTGCCGGGCAATGGAGCTGGGGCCCTGCTGGGGCCCTGGGTGCTGTACTTTTGCTATGACCCCTGCCTTCTCCCTGCTCGCCAAGGGCCGTCCCGGGTGTGACACCTGGATGCCCCCTTGCTCTTTCCCTGCCTCTCTGGGTGGCCTTCCCTGCTGTGCCTTCCTGGGTGCCCCTTTGCTCCCTGCCCCCTGTGTGCTCTGCCACCTGGGCTTCTCCCTGTCCCCCAGGTGCTGTGCCCCTGCCCTGTGCTGCCACACCCCTGCTGACCCCAGTGCCATCCCTGTCCCCCTTGGGAACCTCACCCTTCCCTCCCCACATGCCCTGGGACACCCCCCATGAGTGGGTTCTTTTCTGGCCAGTGCCCCATCCACAGCAGATCCCATGGGTCTCTGGGGCTCCTGCAGCCCTGAGGCCCCCCACAAAGCCCCTGTCTCTGCCCCCAGGGTGCTGGAGAACCTGCAGGAGCTGACAAGCACGTTCGCACTGTCCGGCCCGTCCATTGGGGCCATCCTGCTGCTGATGTTCACATGCCTCTGTATCCTGCCGTGGGGCGGGGGCTCTGTCCTTTCCCACAGTGAGATAGATGGGGGGTGCTATGGAATGAGAGGGGGTGTAGTAGGGACTCTCTCCCCTGTGGGGTGGGGGACGCAGCAGGGGCTCTCTCCCTGTCGGATCAGGGTGCAGTGGGGGCTCTCTTCCTGGGGGTACCTGACACTTCCCAGGGCTGGGAGGCACCTCACCACCACCTGCCCTTAGTATGAAGCAACCTTGTCTGTGCCTACTATAGATCAGCTGCCTCAACCCACCAGCCTCTGGCAGCACCATCCCAGCCTTCCAGGCCCCCCCAACCCCGCTCTCTCCGTCCAGGTCATGACAGCCACACCCCAGGCCCGAGTGCTCGGAGCAGGTCCTTCAGCATCTAGCCCTTTAGCCACCGGACGCTCCCAGCCTCCCCAGGCTTACTGCTCCCAAAGGAGCCGTACAAAGCAGCTGGTAAGGCAGCTCAGGCCCATCCCTTTGCCTGGCACCACAGCACCTGCATTTATAGGGAAACCAATAAGTGTATTGTCCGAGAACAAAGACTCCAGTGACATACTGGAAGCAAATGGTGACACACAAAATAAAATCGTTGCCTACTTTCTAGCACCTCAGCTTAACTCTCCAGGCATCCCCCTGTTGAAAGAGCCTGCTGTCACCCAAAGGTCACTCCAGCATGTTCCATCAAGCCTGGCTGAGATCCCACATTCATGAAGCAAACCTACTGTCCCTTCCCTTCCTAGGTAGGGATTCCTGCCTGTCTTCTCTGCCCCCCAACTATAGTCAAGTCAAACCTTTGAAGTGTATCTCGAGGCAAGGTCTCTCCTCCCTCCCCCCCATTTCTCTTCCTTAGTGTCTTTCTGAAGTTCTTACATGCCTTCATTTGCAGTCAGCTCAGACTGATGCTAGGCAACCCCTTGTGAAGGAGACAGTACACAGTACACATGTAGACAGATCCATGGCTAACTGGCCCTTGTCTGACAGGAAACCTTTATCTACACTTGCTGGTGGCCCACCCCCCCAGCCACAGCTGTCAGACCATATTGTCAGTGCAGGTACAGAACTCCTTACACAGCATCCGCCACACGTGCCTTTTGTGATGGTAGCGGTGTGACACTGGCTTGTATCTGAGACCTCAAGTGACGTTCTTTGGTGAACTAGACAGCTCATGTCAGACTCAGCCAGTTCCTGTAACCCCTCTGCACTCCCCTCCCCAGGTAGCATTGGGAGGTCCTTCGTTCACAGCACTGTTGCTCCTTACCCCCACCCCCCCAGTCATGTTCTCAGTGGTGCTGCATGACCTGTTCCAGAAGTCCGACCCCGATCACTTCGGGGAGCTCTTCGACACCATCTTCACCCTCTTCCAGCTCTTCACGCTAGACGACTGGTCCTTAATCTACCTGGACTGCGTCCAAGTGGGTGAGAAACCTTCCCCACCACCACAGGGCAGGACCCTGGGGTTCTATCCCCATGCTGGGAGGGTAGTGGGGTCTTAGTACTTAGAGCGTGGAGGACAAGGGGCTGGGAGCCAGGACTCCTGGGTTCTAGCACCAGTTCTGGGAGAGGAGTGGGATCTATTGGGTTATAGCAGGAGGGGCTGGGAACCAGGACCCCTGGGTTCTTTTCCTGCCACTGCTCCATTCCCAATAGAAGCTCACCCTTCCCTTTGCAGGTGCCTCATACATTATATACTTCCTGATGGCCTACATCCTCATCGAGTACTTCACCTTCCTCAAGTGAGTCCAGCCCCTTTACCACACTGGTCCTCCCCTGCCCCCAGCTCCCCATCCTCCTTCCATATCCCTATGCCCCTCCCCACACCTCCTTCCCCCTGGCACTTAGCCCCTGGAGAGGGAAATGGCCCCATATCCCCCTGCTTGAGCCAGCCAGTTCCCACACCTGGGGGCCTGATCAGAGCTGGTGTCCCTTAGAGGGGAAAGAACCCATTGTCCCAGCCCTATCCCACCCCCCCCCTCTCTCTCTCTCTCTCAGCCTGGTCATCGCTGTCCTGGTGGACAATTTCCAGTTGACCCTGATCAAGCGCAAAGAGCTACAGAAGCAGAAGGTGCCTCTCCCCACACCCTAAGGAATGGGGGAAGTAGGCATGGAGGGAGTTGTCTCAGCAGCCCAGCTACCCCAGCCTGGGAAGGGAGTGGGGTCTAGTGGGTTACAGCAGGGGTGTGGGGCTGGGAGCTAGGACTCCTGGATTCTATTCCCAGCTCTGGGAGGGCAATGTTATCTAGTGGTTAGAGTGGGGTGAGCTGGGGGGCAGGCTTCCTAGGTTCTATCCCTGGCTCTGGGGGAAGAGTGGTATCTAGTGCTTAGAGTGGGGGCGGCAGAAGTCAGGGCTCCTGGGTCCTCTTCCTGGTTCTGTCCCTGACTCCCTTCATGCCTGAGTTTCCCCCATTGAAACAAGGGTTTCCCCCTGTTGGGTCCATGTTTAATGCTGGGGTTGTTCCTCTCCCCCACTTGCATTACAGACTCTGCTGGAGCAGAAGGAGAGCAGCATAGAAGATATTGTATCAGGCAAGCCAGCTCAGGGTAAGCTCCCCTCCCTCTAGCTCTGGCTGGTGGGGACAGTTCAAAGGGACAGTATGAACCCCTTTCCTCTGGGTTGCTTAGGGAGTGGGGGATACCGGGTTGGATGGGCCCCTGGATACCAGTCTAGACTCCCAAGTGCCTGCACTGAGGGGAATCCCCTCTAGGGGGCTGTCTCCATAATGCGTTCAGCCCCCAGACACTGTGGGGCAAGGGGGTTCCAGGCCGTTGTTGGGATCCAGCAAACTCATCTCACCCACACGCCACCCCCTGCTGTGGGTTGTTGGCAGTGGTGAGGTTCTCCTCCCTGGGGCGGGTGGGGGCTGGTGTCCTGCTGCCTGGCTGGAGTCTCACAGACATCTCTATCTGTCCCCACACAGAGGGACACATGAAGCCGGAGGATGATGAAGCCTTCCTGGATCAGTTCATCAAGCACATGGATGGCAGCGAGAGGTAAGGGGGCCTCATGGCACAGCCTCTCCCCTCCATCCCACGTGGAAGTAGCCAACATGGGGCATGTCAGAGTGGGGTAATGGGCCCTTCCAGCTCCTCTCTCCCTTCAGATCCACGGGCCCATCCGGTTTGGAACCTCCCCCCCGCAATCCATGGGCCCATCGGCCTGGTATCTGTCCCCCACCATCAGATCCATGGGCCCATTCAGCCTGGTATCACCCAACACAGATCAGTTCCAGGGGTGCATGTACCCAGAGGGGCCCTGGCAGGAGGGGACACCTTAGGAAAGCAGGCTCTGATCCCAGGGAAGTCACTGTGCCCCATTCCAACAGGGAGAAGCAGCTGCTCTTCACCTACCTGCAGCTGATGGCATCAGTTGAGCACCTCCAGCAGCAGTTCCGCTCCCAGGCCGCCACCACTGACAAGATTGTCGACAGCTTCTTCGAGGTGGGGGATACTGGCACCTGGCGCAGGGAAAGGCTGAATGGACCCAGGGCAGGGTATACCAGGCTGGATGGGCCCATGCGCTGAGCCAGGGTGGCTGGAGGGGGTATACTGGGCTGGATGGGCCCAGGGGTCTGACCCAGGATGGCAGGAAGGGGAACACCGGGTGGGATAGACCCATGGGTCTGATTCAGAGTAGCAGGGAAGGGGCAGGATACTGCGTATGATGGACCCACCGCTAGGTAGCCATCAATAGCCATTGTGCTGCCAGAGGCAGTAGTCCGGGGCAGATCCTCCCTCTGGGGTGGGGCTCAGTTTGGGGGGCCCCATGGTGCAGCGAGTCAGGGTTGGCTCCATGCCAGAGGGCACCATGCTGCCCCACCCCCTCTGGGCAGGGATCAGCAAGGAGACCCCAGGGGCCTGGGACACTACTCTCTCCTCTCTGTTCCCTGCAGACAGCTGAGCAGGACTTTCCCCACCACTGAAAAAGCTGGGCTGCCCACGCTGTGGGGGAAGGACGTGCCCGGAGGCCCAGCCACTGCAGGCATGAGCCTGGGACAGGCCCCACATCCAGCCCTTGCCCAGATGCTGCCACGGCTCTGTATTAAAAGGCTCCTGGCCACCAGGGATGCAGGGGAAATGGCGTGTGAAGAGTAACAGTGAGGGAAAGGAAAGGATGTCATGCCACACCATGTCTTCTCCCTGCTTTGGGCCCCGGACTCCTGGGTTCTACACCTAGCTCTGGGAGGGGAGGGGGATCTAGTGCATTAGCGTAGGGGTGGGAGGCTGGGAGCCAGGACTCCTGGATTCTATGCCCAGCTCTGATGGTCTTCCCATGTACCCTGACTCCTGGCCCTCCCTGAACACAAGACATGCAGAAGCTCAGCTAAAGGTCTCTGCAGCCCCTGGCTTTGACAGCTGAGCCCTGTGGGGAAGCATTTACAAGGGCCAGCGGTGCAGCCACTTAACCCGCCTGCCCGCCCCTGTGGGCGGGCACCAGCTGCCCAGGGATCCCTGCTGAGCTGGTCCTAGGGAATCTCACAGACAAAGGCTGACTGAGGTCGATAGCCAGGAGTGATGCCAGACTGCTTCAGATGGGGAACGAGGGGCAGAGGTTAAGCAGCGAGGGGGATGCCCCAGGAGGCAGCTCTCCTTGTCTGGGAGAATGCTCCATCCCTTGAGGGCTTTACATCCAGGCTGCACGGCTCTAAAAGCCATGCTCTGGTTCCACCCCCAGATCTGGGCCAGGGGCAGGAAAAGCTGCAGGGGGTCAGGCTGGGGCTCAAAACAGGCCCCTCCAAAATCAGACAAATCAATCTTCAGTCACTGTGCACCTGGGGCTTGGAGCTTTATTGGAAAGCAGTGGGGGCAGGGTGCCAGAGGAAAGCCCCCACCTGGGAGAGGGGCTGGTAAGGCAATGAATCCAGCCTCTGGAGGGTGCGCTGTCCTGCTGGGCCGGGCCGGGCCGGGCCGTGGGAGAACTGTGCAAACACAGAAGACAAGCAGTTTTAGTCCTGGGCTTGCAGAACGGCAGTGTTGTGCTGCTTGTGCTTTAAAAGGAGAGAACTGGAAACCACAAAAGATTAGTGCAGTCAGGAGGGCACTGGACTGGGAGCCAGGACTCCTGGGCTCTATTCCCTGAGATGGGTAGTCCCTTTTCCTCTGGGTGCCTGTTTACCCTCCCACCTTGGGACTGTTAAGACTGTGAGGTCTTCAGGGCAGGGACTGTTTCTCATTCTGTGTTTGGGCTGCACCTGGAACAGGGGTCTCTGATCTTGCTCACGGGCTGCACTATGCCCAGTGCAACAGGGCCCCCCAATCTTGGTTGGAATCTGTCCAGTGCCTGGCGCAACAGTCACAACAACTGCAGAGTCCAGTGCAGACGTGGCTCAGACACGGCACAGGACCACCCACCGGGCAGCGTCAGGACCCAGGTCAGATGGGGGTGCCAGAACCCACAGGGCAGAGCAGTGGACACAGCTTGACATTTGCCCCTCAGCAGCGCTCCTGCTCTGGGGAGAGGCAAAGCCAGCGCCAGCCCCACTGCAGTACTGCAGCACCATCCGGAAGGAGACCTGCAATCAGAGAGGGAGGGATCAGAGCTGACCTGGGCCATCACGGACGAGGCCTCCCATGGGACATACCCAGAGCAGTTTTGTGCCCCGCCCCATCTCAATGCCTGATAAGGATGGATCTCAGCCACAGACTGGCCAGCACAAATTCACTCCCCCTCCCACGGGCCTGAGGCTGCCAGCTCCACAACCAGCAATGACTGGAGCAGAGCAGCCTAATCTTGGGATGAATGGATTATGGAGCAGGGTGATAGGCTAGTGGGTTACAGTGTGGGGGCTGGGAAACAGGACTCCTGGGTTCTATCCCCAGCTCTGGAGGGGAGAGGGGTCTAGTGGTTGGGGGAGTATGGGAGCCAGGACTCCTAGGTTCTGTTTTGTTCTGTCCCTGGCTCTGCCACTGATTCTCCAACTGACTTTGGGTGAGTCCCTTCCCTCTCTTGGTGCCTGTTTCCTTTCTGTCTTTTGTCTGTTCAGACTGTCAGCTCTTGGGGCAAGGCCTGTCTCCCACTGTGTCTGTGCTGCACCTGATTTGGGGAGGGGGGGATAGGCCTTTAGGTGCTACTGTAATACCAACAGAAGAGCAGTGTCCTGAGCTAGGCTCTCTACCTGTCCCTCACCCCTCCAGCTGCTGACCCTTACCATCATTAGTGAATTCATCTAGTGAGGGATCATTCCCATTTACGATGGGGAAACTGAGGCACAGAGAGGGGAAGGGACGTAGAATAGAAATGTAGGGCTGGAAAGGACCTCAGGAGGCCACTAGTCCTTAGCCCCATGTTATGGCAGGGTTACACAGATCTAGCCCATCCCTGATAGGTGTGTGTCTAACCTGTTCTTAAAACCTCCAGAGATGGAGATTTCACGGCCTCCCTGGGTGATTTGTTCCAGTGCTTAACCACCTGAGAGTTACAAAGTTCCCCCTCCCCCCCCCCGATAGCCACCCTAAATCTCTCTTGCTGTGAATTAAGCCATTTACTTGTTGTCCTACCCTAGGTGAGCATGGAGAACAACTGCTCACCATCCTCTTTAGTACAACCTTTTACATATTTGAAGACTTATGTCCCCCTTCAGCCTTCAGTTCTCTCACCTAAACATGCCCAATTCTTTCAATCGTTCCTCACAAATCCTTGCTCTCCTCTGGACTCTCCTGTTTGTTCAGAGCTTTCCTAAAGCGTGGGGCATGAAACCAGACCCAGCACTCCAGCTGAGGCCTTGAGAGTGCTGAGCAGAGCACAGCAATTACCTCTTGTGTCTTACATCTGCCCCTCCTGCTGACAGAGCCCAGCATAACATTTCCCTTTTTCACAACAGCATCATGCTCTTGGCTCATGTTCAATTTGTGATTCACTACCCCCCAGATCCTTTTCTGTAACTCTACTGCCTACCCAGTATGTCCCCATTTGGCAGTTGTGCATTTCATTTTTCTTTCCTAAATGGAGTACTTTGCACTTGTCTGTACTGACTTTCACCTTGCTGATTTCAGATCAGTTTTCCAGTTTATCACAGTCATTTTTCATTCTACTTCTGTGCACCAAAGAGCTGGCAGCCCCTCCCAGCTGGGCATCATCTGCAAATTTTATAAGCATACTCTTCACTCCATCATCCAAGCCATTAGTGAAAATACTGAATCGTACTGGATTCAGGACAGACCCCTGCAGGACCTCAGTGGATACATCCTCCCAGTTTGACAGCGAACCATTGATAACTACTTTTTGAGGACAGTCTTTCAACCAGTTGTGCAGCCACCTTATAGCAATTTCATCTAGATGATATTTCCCTCGTTTACTTATCAGAATGTCCTGTGGGACTGTGTCAAAAGCTTTACTAAAGTCCAGTCATCATGTTCACTGCTTCCCCTTTATCCACTAGGCCAGTAACCCTGTCAAAGAAGGAAATTAGATTGGTTTGGTTATGATTGGTTCTGACAAACCCATGCTGGCTATTTCTTATAACCCTAGTATCTTCTAGGTGCTTACAAATGGATTGTTTAATCATTTGTTCCAGTATCTTTCCAGTATTGTAGTTAGGCAGACTGGTCTATACATTCCCAGGTCCTACTTTTCCCTCTTTTTAAAGACAGGTACTATGTTACCCTTTTCCAGTCCCCTGGGACCTCAACATCCTCTAATGGTTCTGAGATTGCTTTGGCTAGTTCCTAGTTTGGCTAGGGCAATTTTCATCAGGCCCTGCCAACTTGAAGACATCTAACTTATCTAAATACTATAAAGATCATAGAACTGAAGGGCTGGAAGGGACCTCAAGAGGTCATCAAGTCAACCTCCCTGCACTGAAGCAGAACCAAGTAAAACCTAGACCATCCCTGACAGGTGTTTGTCCAACCTGTTCTTAAAAACCTCCACTGACGGGGATTCCACAACCTCCCCTGGGAGCCTGTTCCAGAGCTTAAGTACCATTATAGTCAAGAAGTTTTTCCTACTATCTAATCTAAATCTCTCTTGCCCATGACTGTCTGTCCTACCTTCAGTGGACATAGAGAACATTGGCCTCTTTACAACAGCCCTTAACATACTTGAAGACTGTTTCCCCCCCTTCTCCTTTAATCTGTTCTTTCCCTGGTCTGATCTGAGATCCTTCCCCCTTGCTAATAGTAATTGTCTTAAGCATCTGCTCCCAATTAACCTTTTTAGCGAACACTGAAGCAAAAAAGGCATTAAATACTTCAACCTTCTCCATTATATGCTCTTCTTCCCCATTGAGTAACGGCCTACACTTTCCTTAGTCTTACTCTTATTTCTGATGTGTTTAGAGAATCTCTTCTTGTCCAAGGTCAGCAGCAGAGCTGGGACCAGAAACCAGGAGTCCTGCATCCCAGTGCCCTACCCATTATGCCAGTCAGCTGGTGTTGGCAACGTGGCCAGGACTCTGGCATATCCTGCCCCCTCAGCATCAGGGGTGGCTCCTGAACCCACCTTCAGAAAACGACTGGCTTGGTGGAAGGCTCAGTGCAGGGCGCTCTCCTCTCAAAGGCCACACCATCCCCAGGAAGTGGGGAGGCCAGGAGCGGGCATAGCCAGACAAGGTGCCACCTGTCCCCCAATGCCTCCTGCAGGTTGCGGCGCCAGCCCAGGTCATAGCAGCGGCTCTCCCCAAACCACTCCCTGATCGTCTGGCCACGCAGGCTCAGCAGCACATGTAAGAAGAGGAAGCCGGAGCAGAAGAGGAAACTGACCACGCAGGTGTCCGCCACGAAAGCATAGATGAAGGTCAAGGTGCTCACCTGGCCTGGGGAAACACAAGGGGGTGCTGTCAGTGCTAGGGCAACTAGAAGCCAGGCATTCCCCAAGGGTACACCTAGCATCCCCAGACACAACCAGGTCTTGGCATGTTCCCATTAACCCTGCTCTGCCTCTGTTCCACTGACATGTGACTGCCTCTCGGGTAGGGCACAGGGACTGTTTATACTGGGATATCATAGTTGCCTCTGGGGTAGGGACTGAGGGAGGGCTGGGTGGCTCAGGTGACGGGAATGGGCTGTAGAGTTTCTAAGGAGCTGCCTATGCTGGAAGAGCCCCCCAGGTGCACACTCAAGACACAATCTGCAAAAACAACATGTGATTTACAGGTCCCTCAGTTTCCAAGGAGATGTCCTAAAAGGGTCTATTTTTCAGAGGGTACAGGATCAGCAATCTATAAAATCAGGGCCCTTTATGGAGCTTCTGGCTGATGCCCAGAATCACCAAATCTTGGTCTGATGTTCCTGAGGCTCGGCTGCAACACACTAAGTTTTTTAACTGGGTATTTCCTAGTTTGTTTGTTTTGAAATAAAACTAGCTGAGAACAGCTCGGTCCTAGGGGAATCAGTGGTGCTCTGCCCCATGTGTGGATGGGCCCTTCCCAGCAGGTCCTGCCATGGCTGTACCCGTCAGCAGCATGAGCCACGGCATGAGGAGGAGGAGGATGCTGTGCAGGGTGACTCCCTCATGCAGCATGGCCATGAAGATGTCAGCGTTGAGCAGGCTGGCGTAGAGCAGGGCCACCCAGCCGTGCAGCAGGAGGCAAAGGAAGTAACGGTAGTTATGGTAGCCCACACACTGGCCCAGCAGCACACAGTGGTGGTCCCGGCGCAGCATGCACACGTTGCAGGTGTAGCAGTGGTGACAGCGGGGGGGCACGTGGGACTGGCAGGTGTAGCAGTACCTGGAAGGGAAGCAGGAGCCTCAGGGGGGTGATGCAGCGTTTCCCCGTTCTCCCCCTAGCATCCGAATAGCACATCATATTGTGCTGTCCCTAGGGCTGGAAATAGAGCGGCAGCCCCAAAAGCAGGACAGTCCTGGGCAGGGAGTCCCCAGCAAAGAACAATGGAGCGGGCACAGTCAATCCCAATCTGTCCCCATCCCAATCTCAGGCCACTGCCACACCACATCTTGTAGAAAAGCCCTCTCTCAAACACAGCGACAACAGCATGACAGTACTCTAGCACCAACCTAAAAGTTGCCGGGTGCTGAGCTGCAGTTGCTCAGGTGGGGCACAGGTACTGTTTATACAGGAATCCCATCCCTCACCCGGCACGGAGATGAAGCCGCCGTGGGGGTAGAGGGGAATGGGGCTGTTTATACAGGGATCCGTCACCCAGCACGGAGATGCAGCCACCTCTGGGGTGGGGTGCCAGGGCTGTTTACACAGGGATCCCTTACCTGGCGCTGAGATGAAGCTGCCTCTGGGCTGTGAGAGAGCCCTCTGCCTCCCTCTGTGACCCAGCCATACTCACTCCCAGCCCTGTCCCACGGCGCCTCCGGACAGCATGACCCCTTTGATGCTTGGGCTGGTGGTGACGAAGAGGCCCATATTGCCCAGCACGTTGGCCAGGAGGAAGAGCAGGAGGGGCAGGTGCAGGGCCAGGGGCAGCTGGGTGGGCTCCGCAGGCCAGAGAAGCAGGCACAGCACCTCTGTGCACACGGCCCCCATCAGGGCCACGGTCACACACAGGGGCAGGCACAGCGCGGCATCCAGGCGCTGCCACCGCCCGCCCCGGCCCGCCTGCATGGCTGCCAGGGGGCGCCCCACGCGAGCGCTGCCCGGGGCACAGAGCAGCCTGCTCCCCGCGGGGGCGGAGGGGGGGCGGGGGTGCTGGCTGCCACCCTGGCCGAAGGGAAGGGGGCTTCTCTCCGGGGGCTGGTTCCCTCCCCAGGGTCTCTGCCCCGGACCGGGCTCTCGGGAGGCCTCTCCTCCACTCTCCCCTCAGCCTCCGCTTCCGCCGCCAGCTGGGCGCCACAGCGCGCCCAGCCAATCGGGGGCGGGGAGGGCTGCTTTGCCCAACCTTCCCTCTGACAGAAACCGCGATCGACCAATCGCGGTGCCCAGCGGGGGTCGTCATGGTGCCCGGTGCGGGGACCGGGGTCACCGAGCCCGGGGGAGCCATGGTGCCCAGTGAGGGGACTGGGGTCACCGTGCCCGGGGGAGTCATGGTGCCCAGTGCGGGGACCGGGGTCACCGTGCCCGGGGGAGTCATGGTGCCCAGTGAGGGGACTGGGGTCACCGTGCCCGGGGGAGTCATGGTACCCGGGGGAGTCATGGTGCCCAGTGAGGGGACTGGGGTCACCGTGCCCGGGGGAGTCATGGTACCCGGGGGAGTCATGGTGCCCAGTGAGGGGACCGGGGTCACCGTGCCCGGGGGAGTCATGGTGCCCAGTGAGGGGACTGGGGTCACCGTGCCCGGGGGAGTCATGGTACCCGGGGGAGTCATGGTGCCCAGTGAGGGGACTGGGGTCACCGTGCCCGGGGTCACCGTGCCCGGGGGAGTCATGGTGCCCAGTGAGGGGACCGGGGTCACCGTGTCCAGGGGAGTCACCGTGCCTGAGGGGCCCACAATGCCCACAGGTCTCAGATCGAATTAGCAGAGCTTTGCCCTTTTTCCAGGTGGCCACCCACCCCGCTGGTTCCCAGGCCCATGCTCTGCCCCACTGCCACACCTCAGTGCAGTACAGCCCCTGCCCTGGAGGTTCATTCCGTGGTACTTCCTTTGGGGTCATGGTTTGGCACAGACCTTCCCATGCCACGTGCAGGCCGCAGACACCCTCCCTTCCACATGCCGTCCTGCGGGATGCCGCACCCTCTGGTTGGACACATGCTGCCAGGCAGATGCAGTGCTGGACAATGCTTTGAAATCCCGGAGCCAAGTGGTTAGTGTTTGGGGTGGAGGGGGAACTGCCATTTTGCAGGAGGCAGACAACCCCTTAAATGGGCCTGGTTTGCAAAAGGTAGAAGTTCAGGATTCAGGTCCCTGGAAATTCAGGTCCTCCTTTGAGGTTTCCTCTCCCTCCCACAATCGCTAGCCACTTCTGGGGGCTCCGAGCCCAGCCTGTGCTGCTAATAATAGCCCTAGTGTAACTGGAGCCACAGCACAGGGAGTGGGCACTGGACACCTGCAGTGCTGCTGCATTGCGGGGAAATCAGTGTCCTCTAAGCCAACTCTCCTAGTCCCTCCAGCTTTCCCTTCCCAGGGCATTCCCCCCCCCACCTGGGCCCCCCTGCAGGTGCCCGGGATGTTTATGTGTTGCTGAGACTGGGGTGGGGTACCAGATCACAGCTTCTCTGCAAGGTGCTGGCTGGTGGATATGGTATTGCCTGCCCAGGTCTCCCCCACATGCATGGCGCTGGTCAGTGACATGTTCTTCCCTGCAGGGGCCTTGCAGAATGGTATTGCCTTGTGGTGGGGGGGGGTCAGGAGGGAGTGTCAGTCCCTTGATTTTAGAGCTGGGAAACTGAGGCATTGAGCAGGGACTGGACTTGGTCAAGGTCATACAACAGGGCACTGACAGAGCTGGGAGTGCGACCCGGGAGTCCTGGCTCTTTCAGTGGCCATGCTGCCTCCCTTTGATTTTTGCAACTGACGCCATACTATCCCTGCTCCCAGCTCATTCCTTGGCCCTGGGTTCCTCCGGATGACTTAATGGCCTTTTCCAGATCTGACACCTCTGCTCCTTATTATGAACTACCTGCCCCCACCACCCCTCCAGCTCCCGCTGCGGCTTATTGTGCAGTTCCTGTCCCCAGACCACCAGCAAGCCACCACCCCCTGCCCTCCAGGTACAGGGTCCCTTTAAGAGCCTGCAAGGGGGGTGGGGGTGTCTGGTCTCTGGCCTGCCAGCAGCTGTCCTCACCCTCCCTGGTTGGTGGGGACAGTCCCTCTGCACCCTCCCCCTGGCCTTTTAAAGGTGGAACCTGATCCCCCTTCCCCAGGCTGATAATACTTAATGGGGACCAGTCACGTGGGTGGCTTTTGACCAGGAGCTCAAGACAGGGCAAAGCTGCCGGCCACCAGGGGCAGAGGGATCTGACCTCCAGGAGAAGGGAACTGGTGCCTTGGGCAAGGGGCAGTGCATAGCAGCGAGGAGGGCCTGTGAGAGGGACGACTGGGGACTAAGGTGGAAGAGGGGACAGTCAGACCTGCAGAGAGGGACAAGAGGACAAGCCACGATGACCACGCAAGTAGAGAGCCATATCCAGTACAACCACTCATACATGATGACTGAAGAGTACATGCAGCAGGAGGAGGACTGGGACCGGGACCTGTTGCTGGACCCCGCCTGGGAGAAGCAGCAGAGGAAGGTGGGTGGCTATGGGGGATAGTTATGGGCCGGGGAAGCAGGGTGGGAGCCCGTGAGAGGTGCTGTGGGCAGGTGCCCATGGTGACCAGGTTTAGAGAGCTGGGCAAGGGGCTGTGTCTGTGTGAGTCAGGGCCCATGGGGGAAACTCAGCAGAGTGGGAACCTCAGAGAGGTACCAGGCACTATGGTGAGAGGCTGGCCCAGGTCCCCATCTCTGCAAGAGAGAGAGTCAGGTGGGGTGTGGTGGGGGTGGATCCTGAGCAGGAGAGAGGCCAAGTTGGGCACTAGATGGACAGGTACAGGGTGCCATCACTGCAAAGATTTGGGGCTTTTGGGGGCAGCCACAGAGTGGTGCTAGGGGTTACATGGGTGGGTGCAGGCCGGATCTCATCTCTGCGAGGGGCAGCCTCTGAGCGGTGCCAGGTGCTTGGAGTTACAGGGGTGGCATAGGGCTCCATATCTGCAAGGGGCAGCCTCTGAGTGGTGCCAGGTGCCCTGGGTAACGGGGCAGGCAGAAGCCCCTATCTGCAAGGGCAGACTCTGAGCAGTGTGCAAGGCTGGAGAGCTGGGCTCCGTGCCACGTAGGTTTGTCAAGAGCCAAGCCCCAAAGTGGCGGGTGTGGGGAGGTGATCTTTGGAGCAGGCAGCTGCTGTGCAAGGGTAACTGATACGGCTTGATGCCCCTTCCCACTCCCAGACCCAGAAGGGTGACGCCAGCAGTGGGGAGTTGGAGGAGGTGGCTGTGTGTGTCCTGGAACAGAGTCTGCGGCATCCAAACTATGTCAGGAATGATGGGGATGCGAGGGGCCTGCTGGGCTAAATATACCCACCTGCCTCGCTGTGATCTGGGCTCTGGGCAGGCTGTGCACCAGGATCTTCCAGGTGTATGTGGCGTGCTCGCCCACTTGGACCGCTGCTTATGCATATGGCCAAGATGTTTTGTGTACAGTGGCTGTGAGCAGCCCTGGGCAATTGGTTCACGCACACACCCCACACACCCAAACTCTCCCTTGCAACAATCCCTGCATACGCTGACCCACAGCAACCCCACTCTCACATACACACAACAACCCTCCTGCAAACACTGATCCACAACAACCCCACTCCCACACACAACAAGCCCCCCTCATATACTGACCCACAACAACCCCATTCTCATACACACACAACTCCCCTGCATACAGTGACCCACAACAACCCCACACTCACACACACAACAACAACCCCCCTGCACACACAGACACACAACAGCTCCCCCCATTCTCTCACTCTCACACACACTCTCAAAGTGAGACACCCCCAGAGCAGTGGGCCTGATCCTGATCTCAGCCGGCAGCACATCCAGGCTGTCTCCCTTGCAATTGATGCAGTACCACTGGCGCGAGTGGGAGCAGGATCAGGCCCAGCGAATTCTGTGCCCCTTACCCCAGGAACCTCTGTCAAAGTCCATGTTCTTATGCCCAGGGTGGATCAGGCCCAGGAACCCCTAGAGCCAGAGCACAACCCAAACTGCTAACCCAAAGCCCCTGGTCCCAGCACCACAGAACTCTCGGCTGAGGCGTGCCCAGGTGGCTGCAATAGGGCAGGCGTGCACATTGCTGTTCTCTGTCAGGCATGGGTGCCACGTGTCCCCTCCCTATGATTCTGTACAAACCATTGGAGTCTCTCCCCTGGCCTGCCACTGCTGCAGGGAGCTTTGAGCAGGTGGGGATGGTGCAAGGTGGGATGTTCCTTCCTCCCACCAGTCCTAATCTTGATCCTCAGCCCCCCAGGATCCTCTCCGCGTGTGCCCCTTAACACCAGGCTCTAACCTGGCAGCCTATACCCAGGGTGGTGGTACAGCTACATCAGGTGGGGAAAGGCTATTAGAGCCCCTGTGACCAGGGGACAGCCAGGCTGCCCCTCCTGGTGGGGAGCACTGTCTGGCTACGGGCACATCAGTGAGAGAATGCCACCTGCTTTGAAGTAGTTGCCTCCCATGTAAAGGGAGGTTCTGATCTTCCCTACACCAGGGCAACTCTGGGGTTCACTGGTTGACTTTGGATTGGCCCTGGAAAGCTGAGATCAGAGTCCGGCCTTGGCCTTGTTGCAGTCAGAGGGTGACTCTGGAAACCAGAATTCAGCCCTTTCTGTTGGCACAACTCCCCACAGAATGGTGCTGCTGTCTAGGTTGAGCTGCAGGCTGGGTATTGCCAGCCCTTATCCAGCCCGAACAGTCCTGACCTGAGCTCCACAAGTACCACTTGCTCACACTGAACTGCTTGGACCACCGCTCCCCACGCTCCCCATACAGATGTTTGCCTGTCCCTGCTCCCCGCTCACCTGCTGTCTCTTTGACACACGGTTCTGTTAGGCTATGGAACTCACTGCCACTGGATATCACTGAAGTTGGGTGTACAGAAAGGAGGTGGATAGCAGGGCTGTCCGGAGTCAGAGTAAAGACTGAAAGAGCAGAGGAGAGCTGGGGGAGGGGTTGTGACCCCACCTGCTTTGGGTGCTACACCCTGAACTCTAGCAATTGGGGTCAGAAAAGTGTTTCCTCTGGGTGCAGGTTATCCTACCACTGCAGGGCTCTTACCCCTTCCTCTGGGCATTGGGGTGACATAGATGGGCCATGAGCTGACCCAAGTGGGCCATACCTGTGGAAGTTTGCACCTGCTCTTTGTTAT